AAAAAAAAAAAAAAAAAAGAAAAGAAAAGATAGTGTGTTCTTATTATTTCTCTTTTTAAAATTTTAATTTTAAAGATGTGGGGTAAAATTCAGGTTAGATATACAAATGTTTATTATGCAGGCATCCTTGTTGTTATGCCCCCCCTCCCCTGACAGTTTCCCTCAACTGCCAATCCCACCCCGCTCCCCTGGCAGTTTCTTGCTACTGCCACTCCCTTTCTTATACTATTATGATAATTGTTCAAGGTGTGCATATGAGTGAGAACATATGGTACTCTGTTCTTTGTTTCTGTGATAGATCACTGAGTATGATCAACTCTAGATACATCCAAGTTGCTGCAAAGTCCATATGTTTGTCCTTCTTTATGGCTGCATAATTTCCCATTGTGTATATATATCACACTTTTTTTATCCAGTTCAGTTTCGATGGGCAGCATGGTTGGTTCCATGTTTTTGCTATTATGAATAGAGCTGCAACAAACATACATGTGCAGGTATCTTTTTTGTAGGATGATTTGAGTTCCTCTGGGTTTATTCCCAATAGGGGAATTGCTGGGTCACATGGAAGGCCAATTTCTAGTTCTTTCAGAAATCACCACACTGTCTTCCAAAGAGGTTGCACTAGTTTGTATTCCCACCAGCAGTGTAGAAGCGTTCCTTTTTCTCTGCATCCTCCTTAAGTGTGTACTATTCGGTTTTCACTTTTAATAAACTTGCTGTGACTGCCTTACTACTTTCAAAAATTAAAAAAAGAAAAGATAGCATGTTACTCACAGTTCCCAAGAGCAGTGGGTACTCTATGACTCGGGGGGGGGGGCACTCAGAAGCACGGGGTGTGTCAGGAGGGGAAGGTGGGAGAAACGTGGACAGGAGTGTCCGTTGTGGTTTTTGTGGGAAGAACCAGGTGAGGCAGGGGAAGGAGGCATAGGGTTGGCCAGTAGGAATATCACCAGCGGGCTCCGAGGCATAATGCTCCCTACCTGTCTGACCTGGCCCTTGGGTGATTAGGGCAGGTGATAGTGACCTGGTGGACAGTAAGAGCCCAGTGGGGAGGGGCCTGGAGTGTGGGCCCTGTCACTGGCTTTGCACTTGAAGAGCGTGCTCCAGGGGAAGTTGGCTGCTTATCTCCAGGAATTGGCTAACTCTGGGAGGGGCGGAGCCTCTGAGGTCAGCCAGGCCCCAGGTATCAAAGTCCCAGGAGCAGGAAAGATAAGAAAAGATAAGAAGAAGGCCACAGACTTGTGCCAGGGGGCTCTGTGAGGGACATGGCAATCCAGGCTTTGGTGAATGGCAGCAGCTCTGCCATTTCTCTGTCCCGCCAGCCTCCCACCAGCCCCTTAGCTTATTCTATTATAGAAAGAAGGATTCCGCCGGGCTTGGTGGCTCAGCCTGTAATCCCGCACCTTTGGGAGGCCGAGGTGAGTGGATTGCCTGAGCCCGCGGGTTTGAGACCCACCTGGGCAACTTGGTGAGACCTCATCTCTACAATAAATCAAAAATGAGCCGGGCATGGTAGCGCTCACCTGTAATTCCGGCTACACAGAAGGCTGAGGCGGAAGGATTGCCGGAGTCCAGCAGGTTGAGGCTGCGGTGGCCAGGAGCGGCCACTGCACTCCAGTCTGGGCGACAGAGTGAAACTCCAACTAAAAAAAAAAAGAAAGAAAGAAAGAAAGAAGGATTCCAAGGAATGACCTGAACTGAGCCCCTCCAGAGCCCGTAGCTCCTGTGAATGGGCTTTTGAGCAAGTCTCCTGCTGGAAGTCGTGAAGGCTGGCCAGGCGCGGTGGCTCAAGCCTGTAATCCCAGCACTTTGGGAAGCGGAGGCAAGAGGATTGCCTGAGCTCAGGGGTTTGAGACCAGCCTAGGCAATTTGGTGAGGCCTCATCTCTACAACAAATAAAAAAAAATTAGCAGGGTATGGTGGCACACGCCTGTGGTTCCAGCTACTTGGAAGGCTGAGACAGAAAGATCTCCTAAGCCCAGTAGGTCGAGGATGCGGTGGCCGTGAGCATGCCTCTACACTCCAGCCTGGGTGATGGAGTGAGACTCCAACTCAAAAAACAAACAAAAAAAAACAAGTTGTGAAGGCTTTGACTAATTTCAGGTTGAAACATTCAGGGTACGGGGCCCTTTCTCCTTCTTCCATGTGATTTTTATGCTGAGTTCCAAATATGGTGGGGTGTGGGGACACCTGGAGGTCTCCAGTGTCTGCTAACCATCACCTGGGTGTATTGGAAGATGAGAAAAGAGTGTTTTCCCCTTCATTGGAGTACCTGGGCCCCTTCCTGGCCGGGATGTCCCAGGGCTGGTGCTTGTGGACCTTGGGAAGAGGGTGTGGGGACAGGAGCCTCCTCTGGTTAATTTCCTCTCTGATGCTAACCCCCAACCCCCACCTCGACCTGCCTGCCCACCCATACCACCTGGGCCAGTCCACATGCTCCTCTGGAGTCCCGTTCTTCGAAGGGACAAGCACAGTGCAATTTTTTTTGTGAGTTGGAGACTCACTCTGTCGCCCAGACTGGAGTGCATGGCACGCTCCCGGCTACCACAACCTTGACCTGCTGGGCTCCGGTGATCCTTCCGCCTCAGCCTTCCAAGTAGCTGAAACCACAGGCATGTGCCCCCACACCCGGCTAATATTTTTGACTTATTGTAGAGATGAGGTCTCGCCAAGTTGCCCACAGGCTCAGACAATCCCCTCACCTCAGTCTCCCAAAGTGCTGGGATTACAGGCTTTAGCCACCGCGCTGGCCTCCCCTGCTAAGTATTTACCCAAGTGAAATGCAAGTGTATATCCACCCAAAGACTGACATACACACGTTCATAGCAGCTCTCTTTGTAGAGATGAGGTCAGTTCATATCCCCAAACTGGAAACAGCTCACCTGCCCATCAACCAGCAGCTGAAGAAACGTTGTGGTATAATCATACAGTGGAATACTGAGCAGTAAAGTGAAGCAGACCATTGGTACACACGACACAGGTGATTCTGAAAATAATTATGCTGAGTGAAAGAAACCAGAGCGGCCACCTCTCCAAAAAGAGTACATACCATACGATTCCAATTCTAGAAATGTCTATCATGTCCTTAATAGTCTATAGTGATAGAAGTGTTTATCTGTGACCAGCAATTGCCTGGGATGAGAAGGAGGTTGGAGGCAGAAGGGCAGCAGGAAGCCTTATAAAGAAGTATAAGAGCCAGGTGTTGTGACTCTCGCCAGTAATCCCAGCACTTTGGGAGGCAGAGGTGAGAGGATTGCCAGAGCTCAGGGGTTCAAGACCAGCCTGGGCAACTTGGCAAGACCTTGACTCTGCAATAAATAAAAAAATTAGCTGGGTATGGTGTCACATGGTTCCAGCTACTTGGAAGGCTGAGGCAGGAGGATCGCCTGAGCCCAGCAGGAGGCTGCGGTGACCGTGAGTGTGCCACTGCACTCCAGCTTGGGTGACAGAGTGAGATTCCAACCCAAAAAAAAAGATCAAGCCAGCTGAATTCAGGTGAACACAACGTGAGAGATTAACTATTGTTTGGAATGAACCGTGTTCATCTTGAAGGCCTGCCTTCCTCCCTTCTTCCCTCCCTCCCTCCTCTGCCTCCCTCCCTCTGAGCGCTGGTTGACCACTCCAGTGGCTATTGGAGAGTCAGCGCAAAACCAGCCATGGTCCACCCTCACCTCCAAAGCTCACTGTGGTGGCTAAGGGGCCCGAAGCTGCTTCTCACGGTTTCTTAGGAAGCATGGGTTCCCTGCCCCACAGGTGTTCAAGGCTGGGGAAGGAGGCATCTAAGTACCTGACAGGAGGCTGACCTAGGGCCGGTGGGTGGTGGTGACACCTGTGGGTCCCCCACAGACGCTGCAGGAGATCTTCCAGGCCGAGAACACCATCATGCTGCTGGAAAGGTCCATCGCCGCCAAGGAGTGCCCGCTGAAGGTGGCCCAGACCAGGTTGGAGTGCCGGACCCGGCGCCCCAACGTGGAGCTGTGCAGGGACATTCCACAGTTCAAGTGAGTGCGGAGGCGGGGAGAACCCCTGGCCGTCCTGGAGGCGGGAGGGGTGGGCCTCAGGCGCTCCCGGGAAACCTGGGTCTGAAAAATGGGCCCCCACCGCCATCAATCAGAGCATCTAGTTCCACAGTCAACAGAGTGCTGCTCAGGGTGGAGTCCAAGGTCCAGCCCAGGCTGTCCCACTGCACGGCTCTCCAACACCAGGTGGCGCGCCCTTGCCCTGCACCCCTCTCACCTGCCTGAACTGGGATTCCACAGCTCATGGTGCTCTGGAATCCTTCTTGCTTGCCCTTGACAGCCAAGGAGATGTTAGCCTCCAGGCCCTTCTTCACCTTCTGTCCCTTCAAGAGACGCTCGGCTCATGCCTCTTGGGTGTTCTCACTGTGAGCCCCTGGGGTAGCTGAATAAGTTCTTCAATGACGGTCCTGCACGCCCTGCTGAGCCAAGGAGGCCTGCGTCTGCTGACAAAGGGCCTTCTCATAGGACAGGGGGCAAAAAGCTCATGCCAGCCCGGAAAAGGGGTTTGTGAGTGTGGGGTGGAGAGCTGGAATGGGGTGACAACCAGGCAAGAAAGGAGCAGGCCATCAGACATGGTGATTAATTTCCCATAAACGTGCTGTATGAAGTGGGGCTAACCACTTGGCCACTCTGTTCCCTCCACGTTAGGGGCGCTGTATTCATTGTCATTTGCTGTGTAACATATTACCCTAAAACGCAGTGGCTTGGAAGAACCACATCTGTTATCTCAGAGTCTGTGGGTGACGAACTGGGCTAGGTTCCTGGATTTCACAGACTGTGGTCAAGGTGTCGGTGGGGCCATGGTCCCATCTCAAGGCTGGACTGGGGAAGTATCCACCTCTAAGCTCCCTCATAGGGTTGTTGGCAGAGCTCAGTGGCTCACTGGCTGTGGGGTCAGTGGCCACCCAGATCGTGGCCACATGGGTCGCTCCTGACAACTCACTTCCACAAAGTCAATGACAGTGACAAAAGAAGGATGGCACTACCAGTCACAGCAGCTCACACCTGTAATCCCAGTACATTGGGAGGCGGAGGCAAGAGGATTGCCTGAGTTCAGGGGTTTGAGACCAGCTTAAGCAACATGGTGAGACCTTCTTTCTACAATAAATTAAAAAATCAACTGGGTGTGGTGGGTGTGTGTCTGTGATTCCAGCTACTTGGAAGGCTGAGGTGGAAGGATCACCCGAGCCCAGTAGGTTGAGGCTGTGGTGACCATGAGCGTGCCACTGCATTCTAGCCTGAGCAACAGAGTGAGACTCCATCTCGGAAAAAAAAAAAAACAATTAGTCAGGCATGGTGGCACATGTCTGTATTTCCAGCAACTCAAGAAGTTGAGGTGGGAGGATTGCTTGAGCCCAGGAGGTCGGGACTGCCATAAGCTGTGAGCATGCCACTGCCCTCCAGCCGGGACAACAAAGTGAGACCCTGACTCAAAAAAAAAAAAAAACCCAGAGAAAGTTCCCATTTTAAGTGCTTGGTTGTTACAGATGCCTAGGGTTTACAATGTCAGACATCATAGAACAGAACGTTTCCCTTGCTGTAGAAAGTTGTATTGGACAGTGCTGGTGGAATTTTTCAGGTTGCTGCTGCTGTCTCCCTCTAGCCCAGGTTTGCCATGGGGAAGTTCACCCTGATATCTAACCCAAATCCTTCCAAGCTAGGTGGGCTCGGTGGCTCAGCCTGTAATCCCGCGCTTTGGGAGGCCAAGGTGAGTGGATTGCCTGAGCCCACGGGTTCGAGACCCGCCTGGGCAACTTGGCGAGACCTCATCTCTACAATAAATCAAAAATTAGCCGGGCGTGGTAGCGCACACTTGTAGTTCCAGCTACCTGAAAGGCTGAGGCGGAAGGATTGCCAGAGCCCAGCAGGTAGAGGCTGCAGTGACTGAGAGCAGCCACTGCACTCCAGTCTGGGTGACAGAGTGAGACTCCAACTCAAAAAAAAAAGAAAAAAGAAAAAAAAAATTATTCTAAGCTTCATGTCCTCTAGTCCTGAGCACAGTTTCATTGTCTCTTCTCCCTGGAGGTGGGACCTCCAGCACAGCCCCACAACCAGGCCACTGTCACAGCTCACATGCTCTGTTCATTTCCTGGGGCTGCTGTAACAAACAAATACAAACTGGGTGGCTTCAAACAACAGAAATTAATTATCTCCCAACTTGGAGGCCAGAAGTCCAAAATCAAGGTATCGCCAAAGTTGCTCCCCTTAGAAGCTGTGACAAAGAATCTATTCCCGGCCTCTGTCCCAGCCTCCAGGAGTTGCCAGCAATCCCTGGTGTGTCTTGGCTTACAGATGCATCATGCCAGCCTTTGCCTCCCCCTCCTTAGGGCCTTCTCCTCCGCATGTCTGTGTGACTCCAAGCTTTCTCTCTTTTCTCTGGTAAGGTGAAAAGTCATTGGGTCTAGGGCCCATCCTCAGTCCAGGCTGATCTCATCTTGTGATCCTTGATCACATCTACAAAGACCCTGTTTCCAAATAACATCACATTCTCAGGCACCGAGGGGACAGGACTTAGACGTGTCTTTCTGGGACACACTCTCCACCTCACTATACCTCTCTCCTGCCTCCACCCTTGTCCCCTTCCACAGCAGCCTGGGCTGTCCCAAAACTTAGAGCAACACGTCATCCCCCTGTTTCAACTCCTCCTCCCACCCAGCACCACGGCTTCCAACTGGACTGAGAACAAAGTCCAAGACCCTTAATTCTGCATGCACTCTTCTCTTTATTTTATTTTCTGCTTTATTTATTTATTTATTGGGTTGAAGTCTCTCTGTCACCCAGACTGGAGTGCAGGGGCATGCTCATGGCCACTGCAGCCACGATCCGCTGGGCTCACGTGATCCTTATCCCTCAGCCTTCCAAATTTTTTTATGTAGAGACAAGGTCTCGCCATGCTGCCCAGGCTGGTCTCAAAGCCGTGGGCTCAGGCAATCCTCTCGCTTCAGCAATCCCTGAGCCACTGTGCCTGGCTTTTATTTATTTACTTATTTTTGTAAAGACAAATCTTACCATTTGCCCAGCCTGTCTCAAACTCCTGGGTTCAACCAGTCCTCTTGCCTGTGTCTCCCGAGGTGCTGGTATGGCAGGCGTGAGCCACTGCCCGCTCCCTAAAAATGCACTCACTGTCCAATTCAGCAGCCACATGGGGCCATTTCATTTACCTTTATAAGATTTAAAACTATATACATTTAAATTCTAAATGAAATTAATAGAGTTAAGCATCCAGTTCTCAACTATGTAGCCACATTTCAAGCGCTCATCAGTCCCATGGGGCTGGTGGCCTCCACATTGGATGGTGCAGACACAGACCATTTTCATCGTCACAGATTGTTCTACAGGATGGCACTGCTGTAGCACACTCTCCCTCCTGGTCTCCACATAGCCAGCTCATTCTCATCTTTTTTGCCTGCTCAAAAGTCCACCCCTTGAGCTGGGCACAGTGGCTCCCTCCTGTAACCCCAGCACTTTGGGAGGCCCATGTGGGAGAGGGTCACTTGAAGTCAGGAGTTTGATACCAGCCTGGGCAACATTGCAAGACCCCCATTTCTACAAATAATTTTAAAAATTAGCCAGGCATGGTGGTGTGAGCCTGTAGCCCCAGCTCTTTGAGAACGGAAGCAGGAGAATTGCTTGAGCCCAGGAGGTTAAGGCTGCAGTGAGCTATGATGATACCATGGCACTCCAGCTTGGGCAACAAAGCGAGACCCTGTCTCAAAAAAAGTTCCTCTTCTCAGACAGTTCCACAAAAGCAAAGCTTCCAAAGAAGGGGAATGAGGACCTCAGGAGCATGAAGTGGTCTCAGAGTTGCTCCCACAGTGAGGTGGGGGCAGTTTTTGGTATCCCCAAGTCAGCCAAACACTGGCCGTGGCTGCTCGGTGAGACTCTCCTCCCAGGGGGAATGGCTCCACTAGCCAAGCATCATTCCTCTTTGAAAAGTGTGGCCCTGTGAGTCATTAGCAGCCAAGGCTCACAGCAGCTGGGGGTGGTGCCCCGCCAGGAGGGGAGACCCGAGAGAGCCCGTCTTACCTAGATGAGCCTGGCCCTATTATTTTTGTTTTTTAAAAATTATAATAAAGTACACACAACATAGAATTCACCATCAGTGAATTCACCATCATTGGCAGTGTTATGCAGCCATCCCACTACCTAGTTCCAGAACATTTTTATCATCCCATAAGGAAGCCCCATACTCATTAAGCAATCTTGATGACTTATTCCCTCCCCTGACCCCTGGCACCCACCAATCCACTTTCTGTCTTTCTGGATGTGCCTGTTCTGGACATTTCTTCTTCTTCTTCCTTTTTTTTTAGTTGGAGTTTCGCTCTGTCACCCAGGCTAGAGTGCAGTGGCATGCTCATGGCCACCGCAGCCTTGACCTGCTGGGCTCAGATGATCCTTCCGCCTCAGCCTTCCAAGTAACTGGAACTATAGGCACGTGCCACCACGCCCAGCTAATTTTTTGATTTATTGTAGAGATGAGGTCTCGCCAAATTGCCCAGGCTAGTCTCGAACCTATGGGTTCAGGCAATCCTCTCACCTCAGCCTCCCAAAGTGTTGAGATTATAGGAGTAAGCCACCACGCCTGGTCTGTTCTGGACATTTCATAGGAATGGAATCATATAACATGTGGCCTTTGGTGTTTGGCTTCTTTCTTTAGCATCATGTTTCCAAGAATCTCTATGTTGTAACATGTATCAAGTTTCATGCCTTTTTATTGTAGCTGCATTGTATGGATAGACCACATCTTGGTTGCCCATTCGTCTGTCAGTGGACATTTGAGCTGTGTCTACCTTTTGGCTGTTGTGAATATGCTGCTGTGAAAGTTCACCTACACATTCTGGTTGGGCACCTGTCTTCTGTTCTTGTGGGTCTATCTCCAGGAGCGGAACTGCTGGGCCATATGTTAAGTCTTTGTCTTAACTAACTGAGGAAGTGCCAGACTGTTTTCCTGTCCTTACACCATCCTAGATTTTCCTTTGGCTCCTCTCTAGTGTGTCCGCTTGCCTGCCTGTCCTGCCTCTGTCTCTCCAGGGCAGAGCCTTATCAGTCCTGCTCCTGCTGTCTCCCAGTGCCCAGCCTGGTTCCTGGCACATCGTGCGTGTGTCTGATGAACGACTGAATTACTCGTGCCTTCTCCTTGCTCTCTCTCACCCAGGCTGGTAAATGAGGTGTTCACCATCGACGACACCCTGCAGACCCTGAAGCTGAGGCTGCGGGAGACGCAGGACACACTGCAGCTGCTGGTGATGACCAAGTGCCGGCTGGAGCACGAGCTCGCCATCAAGGCCAACACGCTCTGCATCGACAAGGAGAAGTGCATGCGCATGCGCAAGACCTTCCCCTCCACCCCACGCCTGGCGGGCTACACCTAGCAGTTGCGCGCCCCGCGCTGCTTTCCTGCACGGTTTACAATTACAAAATGCCGGCAAGCAAAATAAAAGGAAGTGTCATATTCTCCTTTTACCTCCTATCATGAAAAAATATGTATATTTAGTGCTCAAATAAATGTGCCCAAACCAAAGATCCTGGAAGTCATTCCTTGCTGCAGAATGGCTTTGGGGCTGCCCTGAGAAGAGATAGAAAATGATCCCTTGGGATGGAGGGTGGGAGGTCACCAGCATCCACAGGAAAGGAAGAGGACTCATCTCTCTCTCTCTCTCTCTCCACCCCCGTCTCTCTCTCTCTCTCTCTCTCT